AGCGGCCATGGCTCACGGGCCCAGCCGCTCCGCGGCATGTGGGATCTTCCCGGACCTGGCCGCAAACCCGCGTCCCCTGCATCGGCAGGCGGGCTCTCAACCACTGCGCCACCAGGGAAGCCCTGTAAGACTTTCTTAAGCTAAGCTGAAAGGGGGACGTGGTGTCCCTTTCTCCACTCCTCCACTGATATGAGGTACTTTGGAAGGTCTTCTGTGGGCAGCATCTACCCAGTCCCAGCGCAGAGGGTTTTCTCGAGAAGTGTGACCCAGATAGAGACACAAGGAGCCGCTTCCCAGAGCTTGTCAAAGCTAAAAAACGAAGTCCTCATTTCTTTTAATGCCACTATCTCGTTTAGTCTTTATGACGCTGTGAGGCAGCCTGGTCACTGCTGCCCTCAGTATTATATGAGGACATGGACCCCAGGAGTTCAAGCGGTAGCAGATGCAGAGCTGGACTCACCCCGGGGGTTCTCAGACGCCACGTTCTACAGCCTCCCCTTCCTCTCGCCGTGCCTGCCACTCCACTCAGCCCTTCCCCACCTTGCCCTGGGGGGCTCTAAACTGCAGGACAGGTGGTCTTCTTCCAGAGGAAGGAGAGTCTGACGCAGAGAAAGTGCCCGCAAAATGTTTTTTACGTGGAATCAAGCCCCCCACATGTACACGCACACATATACGTGTACACACAGAGACACATATATACATGTACACACACACATGCACATGGCCCCTCCCGCAGTGTAGGAAGAAGCCTGGGTCCACGCACACGCAGTGTTGACCCCAGGTTTCCCATGTGAGGCATTTCCGAGCCTCTGGCTTGGCCTCAGTACGCTGGTCAGGAAACCATTGAACTTACGTCCATGATGGGCAGGTGTGCATCCCTGCGAAGATGCTAAGGCCGAAACACACAGTCCAGCAATGTTCAGAGCAAGGCCCTCGCGTGTTTACTCTTTCCGGTGTGGTTTCATCTCAACAGCCTGACCCTCCAGTAACCCAGAGACCTTAGGATTTCAAAGGAGCCGAGGAAAGAGCAGTTAAGATCAAGGGTGATTTGTCGGCCAGGATGGAAGATGCTTGCATTTCATCTTTCTTATCAGACTTTTGTTTGCTTTTTGGTTGGTTTGCCTTTTCCTGTCCTTTTAAATGCAGTTAGGTAGAAAGAAGGGGGAAAGCCAGTTCTTAGGCCACCAGAGGACAGAAAAGGATAAATGAGGTAATAAAAGGGGCTCTTGGCAGATACAAGTCTGGCACTTGGATGCTATTGCTGTTTGGGTCTGCAGTGCTCCCGGTGTCCTCTGGGAATAGGTAGAGCCTCTTGTTGAAGGAAAAGAGTGCGTTGCAACTGAGAGATGCCACCTGCAGCGCCAGCGTTTTGGTGGTGGCAGGGGTGTGAGGAGTCACATGATGTCAGACAACACAGGGTGGCTTCTGTGCCAGGGGCTGCTTCCCCGGGCTTTCTTCCTCTGCTTGTTTACAAGTCGCCCGAAAGGAGGAAAAGCTCAGGGAAAGTCTGGAGGCCTGAGACCCAAGCTGTTTGCTCTGGTGTAGAGAGAGACAACATAAGGGCTCTGGAGTCAAACAGCTGGGTCTGCATATCCAGCTCCACCACTGACTAGCCTCGGGACCTTCTGCCAGTCACTGAAGCTGCACAGGCTCCGGTTTCCTCTTGTGAAAATGGAGGTGACAAGAGTTATGTTTTGGGGTCACATGAGTTGAGTTACTTCTGTGCAGTGCACTGGGGGCACGGCCTACAGTGTGCCAGGTGCTTTCATAAACGCTGTTACCTCTGGGGAAAGCTTTCAAGAAGAGGAGGAATTAGGCTCTGTCATTCAGAGGTTAGTTGTTTCATGACTTTCCCTGTTGACTCCACTTTGCAGACTTGGGAATAAGAAGATAATCCTCAGGGAAATCCAGGCAAACTTTGAATGAGGGGAAATAATCTTTTGTTAGAGAAATTATGAAAGACTTTTTAGATAATTCTGTAAACTCCTATGACTTCCTTGAGTAATATATATCGCTGTTGATTTTATAGCACTTTGAGATCCTAAATGATTCTTATTTATTAATTAGCACCGGTTCTGCAAAGACTGCCCTTGGCCCAAGAGTTCTTCCTAAACTACCTCAGAAAGGTAAGATTTATCATTTTCATATTTGCATGTAATTAGAGTGTCATTATACCCTCCAAGGGGACAGGAGCATCTGTCTCTTTTGTTCCCTGCTCTATCTCAGATGCCTAGAGCAGTAGCTGGTGTGTAGTAGATGTGTATTTAATATTTGTTCAATGAAAAAAAATATAGGTTCAAATTTTGTGATTAGCAAAACACCAAACTCTTCCTTAAAAACACCATACTTTTTCAGAAGACACATCATTAGTATCCCCAGGTGCCATTTCTCATCTTGCAAACATGATCAGAGAGACCTAGGAACCAGTACTGGCTCTGCCACTTACTAGCTGTGTGGCCTGGGCAGGGGACTCCGAAGCTTCACTAAGCGTCAGATTCCTCACCTGTCAGTAGGGCCAGGACACCTGCTTCGCCAGGTATTGTAAGGACGAAATGAGATGATGCTTCAGAAAGGCTGGATTTTGCTGATCGGCATCCCCATGTGGTTATTTAACATGTTCCTCTGTCCTCTGTATTTCCTAGCAATTGAAAGTTGGATCAAGAGACCCGATCAGATACAAGTTCAGGCTTTGCACAGCTCCTTCCTGGGTTGTGGTGCGTTCTTCAACTGAGAGGGACGTGTCATCTGATTGTCTCTCTTTGAGTGAAGTTCCAGATGCTGATACTCAAAGCCAAGATCCATTCATGTATCCTCTGTTAAGACCACTCCACAAGGCCGTCGGCGGGTGGTCAAGCTCAGCCCACCTGCAGCCTTTGGCCTGGCTGGTTACTCTCTCTGCACTTGGCCTGTGGACACCGTCCTGTTCTTAGAGCACTGACAGTCCCTGCTCCCCTCCTGTGCTGGGCCCTCCTCGTGTCCTCAGCCTCCAGATGTTGGCTCGGCCATGGTCACTTCTCTTGTGAATATGCCCTCATTCCCTGGGGAACCCACCCTGGCACCTCCACATTATCCACCCAGCCCAAGAATCCCTATATAATCTAAACTCACACACACCAGGCTCTGTAATATCTCTGCTCTATCACATGTCTAATAGGCTGCTCAGCTTAAGATTTTGAATACGCTTCTGACCCCACCCCCCTAGACTTGTTTTTCCCACAGTGTCCCTATCTGTTACAGGTGATATTGTCCGGGTCCAGGTGTTTGGGCCTTAAAACCTAAGAAGGAAGCTCAACTCCTTCCATCCCGCCACGCCCCACATCCAGTGTTTCCACACGTACTGTTGGTTCTCCCTTCGATGTGTCTTAACATCCAGGCACTTCTTCCCATGTCCTCCATTCTCACCGTGGTCCACGGGGCCATCATCTCTTGTCTGGACACTTGCAGCCTCCTACCTGGTCTACCTGTCTCTGCCCTGGCCCTGCAGTCTTTCCTCAACAGAAGAGCCAGGGTGATCCATGTTAAATCAGTCACTCTGTCCCATCCATCCAGTGGTTCCCGCTCTCACCCCAAAAAAAGGTAGGGTCCCCGGATGTGTTTCTGAGCCTCCTGAGCTGGAGACAGAGGGCGTCTGTGACATCGAGAGGCGTGGGGCTGCAGCTCCTTCTACTGCCTGCCCCCCTCCCCCCAAGCACCTGCCACCAGCTGGCACTTTCACATGGACTGTCCTGGCCACATCTCACTCTTTTTCCCTCCCAAACATTACCCATTTTTAAACTCCTTCAGGCACCTTTTAAAGGGCTTAATTAAAGCCTTCTCAACTGGGGACAGACTGCTGCACAGAGCCATTTGTTTAAGGAGTTTTAAAAGGCAGTCGTATAAGGGCTTCCCTGGTGGCGCAGTGGTTAAGAATCTGCCTACCAGTGCAGGGGACACGGGTTCGAGCCCTGGTCTGGGAAGATCCCACATGCCGCAGAGCAACTAGGCCCGTGAGCCACGGCTACTGAGCCTGCGCGTCTGGAGCCTGTGCTCCGCAACAAGAGAGGCCGCAACAGTGAGAGGCCCGCGCACCGCGATGAAGAGTGGCCCCCGCTTGCCGTGACTCGCACAGAAACGAAGACCCAACACAGCCAAAAATAAAATAAATAAATAAAAATTTTTTTAAAATAGGCAATAGTATAGAAACCTTGGGGGATCTTTCAACCTGAACAGAGTCACCATAGTTCTGCACTGTGATACAGCTACCTGGTCCCTTACATTCTTCCACAGTTGTCATCATAATGAAACTACAGTTTTGCATCCTGGGTTTTCCCATTTAGCGTTTCGACGTACATATTTTTTCAGGTGTCCGTGAGCTCTTCGTGAATGTCGTCGGGCTTGCACTCTTCCGCTGGGTGGGTGCCGTCCGCTGTCTGGCACCCCCTCTGTTGGGAATGTGGGCTTGGGAGTGTGCGGGCTCTTTCCTCCCCCTCCTCCTCCTCCTCCTCCTCCTGTTACGTCCTTTGAGTCCGTTCTCAGGAACGAACCGTATTTGCTTGTCTGTCCATCAGAGTTAAGAATGCAGTTCAGAAAGGACTTTGAATTAGAGAGGGGAAAACCCAGCTCAGCTTGGAAATAAAATAGCCAGAGATTGGGCAGGCTTCCCTGGAGGAGAAACTGTCTCCTTATTTATTTGTATTATAAAAGTAATATATATTCATCCTAGAAGATTTTAAAAATACAGATAAGCATAAAGAAGAAAATACAAACCACCTGAAGTCTCACCACCAAGGATAAACAATTTGGTCTATCTTTTCAGTCTTTTTCCTATGTTTTTTTATGTCGCTGTGTAAGCTGACTTTTGTCACATAATAAATCAAGAACCCTTTCCAGGACACAAATTACACTCTTACTGGCTGCATAGTACTCTGTTGTCTGATACCAGGACGTATTAAGCAGTCTGTCCTATTCCACATTCACCCGGTTCACAGTTTTTTCACTATAAACAGTGCCGTGCTGAACAACTCAACACAGGCATGTCAGTGCCTGGCTTTGATCCCTTTTTAGGACAGATTTCTAGAATCAGAGTTGCATGTTCAGATGGCCCGGCACTTACAGTTTCTGTTTCCCCAGAAGTGTGGCTCAGAGCTAGGCTTTCCAGCCCCACTGCCTCAGGGAATCTCCCAGCTTCTCCCCCATCACTGCCTCAGACTTCTGTTTACCACAGTATCTGACTTCCAAGAGAGGAATCTGACGGGCCTGCTGTCAGTTTCTGAGCGGAGCCACATCGGCTGAATCTCTTGGGCCAGCCTGGGAGCAGGGTGTCCTTGAATTTTATTTCCTTAGGAAGGGACGTGGCTGGGCAGGCTGCAATACAGCTTGTGACAGTTTACAATACTGGGGTTTGTCTTTCTTTTTTAAAACATAAAATTTTGAGAATATCTTTCTGAGTTTTGTATTTCTAGAATAAAATTTGTCTAGTTTGACTCACTCAGTGTGCCTTAGTCAGCTGTGTCCTCGTTGAGCACATACTATGTGCTCGGTGAATCCTGGCCTCAAGGAACCTTGTCTAGCAGTAATGATGATATTCTGATATACCTAGAGCCTCCCAGGTGCTGTTGGCAAATTCTTTACGTATGTCAACTCATGATGAGGAAGGTGAGGCACAGAGAGGTCGTGTAATTTGCTCACGGTCACACAGCTCGTAAGTAAGTGGTGAAGCCTGATTTGAAGATGTGTCCTTAGTGCGCGGGGGGGGGGGGTGCGTGGGCGTGGTGAGGGAGGAAGCTTTTCCCTCTTACATAGTGCATGAATCATGTAAAACGTGGGGAATTAATAATATTGTACATTATGATACTGCTGTAGAACGGAATAGACTGCAACATTAAGAACGCTCACTGGACTTCCCTGGTGGTCCAGTGGATAAGACTCTGCACTTCCAGTGCAGGGGGCCTGCGTTCCATCCCTGATCAGGGCGCCAGATCCCACATGCCGCAACTAAGAGTCCACATGCCACGACTAAAGATCCCGCATGCTGCAACTAAGACCCGGCGCAGCCAAATACATAAATAAACAAACATTTTAGCTATATATATATATGCTACTAATAAAGAATTTTTATCAACACAGGAAATGTTCTTGCTAAAACAGTATATAGCTAAAAGCAGATAAATGTTTTACCTATGAAGAATACATAGAAAAGTCCAGGAGGAAATTACATCAAAGTATTTTAAATGGCTACATTTAGGCAGGAGGCTTATGGAAAACTTTTCCTTTAGCTCTATACTTTTCTGTAATCTGTATTATGTTTATAGTTGTGGGGGTTTTTTTGTTCTTTTTATTCTGGATTAGTTTGGATGTGCTGTTCATAAACTAAAGCATAAAATCACCCATTGTAAGGTGGGTGCCTCCCAGGCTTCCGACTTTCACCTTCAAAGCAGGCCATCCGTGCACCCGCGTGCAGAGCGCTCCCTCGGGGTTGGTTCTCCCCCCTGTGACCGTGACAGAGGAAGGCAATGCTGATCCTCTCACGTCCCCGTCCAGTGACCCCTCTCTCTGTGTTGTCTCCCGCAGTGGCACTAAGGAAAACAGAGACCAGCCATCATCTCTCCCTCGACAAAGCCACCGTCCCGCCCGAACTCTTCCAGAAGTCATCACAGTTAGCAGAGTTACCACAGAAGCCGCCACCCGGAGACCTGCCCCCGAAGCCCACGGAACTGGCTCCCAAACCCCCAATCGGAGACTTGCCACCTAAGCCGGGAGACCTGCCCCCCAAGCCGCAGCTCGCAGACTTGCCTCCCAAGCCGCAGGTGAAGGACCTGCCGCCCAAGCCGCAGCTGGGAGACTTGCTGGCGAAACCCCAGGCGGCAGACGCCTCTCCCAAGGCCCAGCCGCCCCCAGAGCTCGCCCCCAAGTCACACCCGGCCGATCTCTCCCCGAATATCCCGAAGCAGGCGTCTGAGGACTCCAACGACCTCACACCCACCCTGCCGGAGACGCCCGTGCCGCTGCCCAGGAAGATCAACACGGTGGGTGGACACCCGGCCAGCCCAGCTCAGGCATCAGGGGGGCGTGGAGCCTGGGGGTCGGGACCGGGCCGTGGACCCCGCAGACAGACCTCAGGACCTGCGTTCCCTGTGACCACGGGGGCTTGGCCACTTAGTTACGTGCCCTGAGCCTAGGTTTCCTTATATGTGCGTGAGCAGAGCTAGGGCGGTGCCTGAGTTCATGGGTGATGAAACGCAGTGACAGATGAGCAGCGCCCAGTAACACTCAGCAAGTGGTCGCTCTTGCCTCAGATCCTTGAGGAGGAGGCCTTTCCTTTCCCAAGGTCACGGGAACGCGGTCTCCCTCTCAGGGTTCTGAGCACCTCGCTCCTCTGCTTCTCACGGCATCTGCCTGGAGGAACTTGGGTGCAGAGCCCCAAAAGACTTAACACCAACACAGAATTCGGTTTGAAGTCTCCCATTCCACCGTTGTCCTGAAGTGCTTTCTACTCTTTGATATGGCCGTTTTACTTTAATGTAAACATGCTTTTCACCCTCACTGCCCTCCCCAAAATGTTTTTTTGGGAAAACGGAGCTCTGGGAAGATGCACGTGTGCTGTCTGTCCTGCCCATGGCCACACCCTCACAGGGTCACGAGCACCCCGGTTAAGGAGCACAGTTAGTGGGGGACTAAAAGCCTCTACTCACATCTTACTATTAAAAAAACAACGTTGCAATAAAAGTGTGTCACTTCGGTAATAAAGGAAAAGTGAGACGAGTAAAATCCGTCCTCCCCTGGGTGGGAGACCATACACACGTTCATCTGTGGGTGCTTGCTGTTCTCCAGGGCAGGCTTCCGAGACGCCCAAGCACCACGCATGGCCCTGACGTGCGCGTAATTCCCGTTTGTGCTGCCGCACGCTTTACTGTTCACCTCATGTAACCCTCCCTGTCATAAGTGGCCACACACAGCTTGCTCAGAGAGTCAGAGCTGAGAAGACTTAAGATCTCTACTGGCCACAGCTCCGCCGGCTTCTCAGACCCCACCAGCTCCAGCACAGCCCAGGGAGAGGGCTGCAGAAGCCAGCGGGTCGTCAGGGTGACTGACCGAGGGAGAAACCAGCAGACAGAGAGGAAGAGCGCTTGACCCGAAACTTTTAGAGAAACAGCTTGCTTTTTTCCTTCCTAACTATTTAATAAGCTGGGCACCAGAAACATCCTCTAGAAGGTCATTTCCCTATTTCCATCTTCCTGTTTGCAAAGAACTAGAAATCCAACAGATAAAAGCCCAAGTCAAAATGGGTCAAAAGCTAAAACATTTTGGGGAACTGCCTGGCGTCCTCCCCGCCCCAGGCTGCCCTGCCCTGTTTAACCAACGTGTGCTGACTCAGTGCTTTGCACGAGGGGCTGAGAAATGTGTTTATGCCGCACGTTCCGTGTGTAGAAACTGCACGTCCTGCTTTGCAGCATGTTTCCCCAGACCATTTTTAGACTCTGCTGTCATCTCTGCAAGCTGCCGTGGGTTGGGGAAGGGGAGAGCGCTTTGCAGTTCTGGGTGAAGCTGGATTTTGGTCCCTGCCCGTGATGTTTGCCGTCCGATGGAAGTCATCGGGGCTGCCTGTTCGCCCACACCGGGCTCTGCCCTGCTGCTCGGGGCAGAGGGGCTGTCGTGTCTGGAGGGCACCCAGGGCTCGGGGCGTCTGCCCACAAGCCTCCCCCCTTTCACCGAGGAGAAACTGAGGCTCAGGGAGGTTAACTCACTCGCCCAGGGTCAGTGTGTCCCTT